GTGGACAAACGAATGCAATAATGATTTTACCAATATTCGCATTTAAGGTGCCAACTTCACAAAGCAGCTCTGTAATGTTGAAATCTCTAAATGCGAATTAATTGCCGGGATCATATATATGTATATATAACTTATTTAAAATATAAACACGCGCGATATATTTTAACATATTTGTAAAAAAAATGGGTGTAATATATATCTTTAATGTTAATACTTTTAAGCTTAATAATAAACATCACGCGCATGGAAGTAAGCATACATATATGTAGTTGCAGGGAGGAATATTTATTCTGATCCACATTTTATGTAGCGCGAATACGATTATACGAACCGCGAATATCTACTTACCATCAGTCTTGAAAAGTATATGCGTTATCCTCAGAATAGTGGATCTGGCATGTAGTTCACATCCACTTTTGCAGTGGGCAGTAGTGCGCGGCAGTATTTTGTGGTTACAGGTTTTAGGTCGTTATGTCCTCTCTTAGGTTTCTCTCTGACTTGGTACATGTACCATCGCCAAAATTCGCCTTTAGTCCGAGTTCTTGAATCGAAGAAATATACAGCCAATCAATATGTAGTTTTTATGGAAAAACTGTAAGTTGATTGGCTGCACATTTCTGAAGAATTCGGGTTGAATTCTGGCACCGTGGACAGGGATTAAGAAGAGTGGGAGTTGATGTTTTGGTGGGAGTGTAAAATCGTAAACACGTCGATCACCCGATGTGTTAAATTATAACTATGTATACCGTTGCAAGAATAAAAAATCGCTGAGTCGTAATTCGAGAAACTCTGCCATGCTTACCTCGCAGTTTTTTTTTCTATAAATAATTACATAATAGTCGAAGGCGCATGATTGAAAGCTTTTTTTGTCACAGCGTGCATGTGCACATTAAATAAAAAGTGATTACATTTTGTAGTGTTGAGCAAGAGTATCAGTTTGAATTTGATTGAACGGGAATTATTTGAGGACGTTTGACGAATTTACACGTAGGCATGGCACGTGTGAAATCCAAAAAATTAGGCACTTTCTCAAAGTTGTATCTGGCGTCGTATAATCTCGGCCAAACTTTGGGGTACGTTTTTTTCTTGAAAAATGAACAATCTGATATTCTCTGAATTGTTTTTATATAATTAATGACTTTTTAACGCAATATTGTATTTTTTTTTTATTATTCTATTTTAGAATTTATTATATTTTTCTTTGTTTTTTTTTTCTTAAATTAATTTGGAAATAAATCTTTTATTTTAGATGGAGTTATTTATTATATCAGTTCATACAACATTATCTTGAATCTTCTTCTTCTTCTTCTGATAGTACTTTGTGGACTAAAACCAAGCTACCTGTAATTATTTTCCAAAATGCAGCTCTATTGGAGGTATTTAACAATCTTAGAACTTGAATGAATATAATCTGAGGCAGACAGATAATTAATTATTTGAAATCTTTAAATTTTGTCTTAGACTTTTTGAATTTTTACTGAGAATATATCAAATGCGTAGCAATAACTATAATCTAAAAAGTTGTTAAAATTAAGATTCAAATTTAATTAAAAAGTTATTGACAAATATAACACTGAGATACAAATTTCATGAAATGTTTTAATAGATTAGAAACTGTAAATGTTATCTGTAGATTTATCTTTTAAAGTATTGTGTTAATTATGCATAGTTTATTATATGAAACCTTCCTGTTTCAGATAATACATGCAGGAACTGGACTGGTACCATCTAGTGTTTTAGTCACATTAGCTCAAGTCTTCAGTCGTATTATGCTTGTAAATGGAGTTCTTCTAGCTACTCCTTACACATATGCTGCTGCATCTATAGGTCTTCCACTAGCTCTCTCTGCGTGGTCTATTACAGAGATCATTAGATATTCCTATTATTTCATGAATATCGTCTCTGGCTTTGTGCCATATGTATTAGTCTGGCTGAGGTGAGTTTAATCTCTTTTACCATTTTAAATCTAAAATTACTTTTATATACATAAGTTGTGTTAAATGGAAACATGCTTTCAGATATACTGCATTCATCATATTATATCCGTGGGGTGTGACTGGTGAATTATTGTGTTTATATACCGCTGTAAAATATGCCAACACTAATCCTGACTCTTGGAGTTATGTTCTACCGAATAAATGGAACTTCACGTTTAGCTATTTGTATCTCTTGATAGTAGTTATGCTACTTTACATTCCAGGTGAATATAAAAAGCGTGTGGATAGAAAAATAAATCATAAATTGAAATAAAATCATAAATTTATGAAATTATTTATAAATACTTGTTTTTTTTATTGCAGGTTTTCCACCACTTTACTTGCACATGTTTACGCAAAGGCAAAAAATACTTAATCCTAGTGCTACTGTGAAAAAAACTAATTAATTTAAATCTATATACATTTGTTACATTTACACATTTCCTATTTTATAATCATATTTATTATATATGTACAAAAAAACTAATGGAGAGGGTTTATATGTTATTGAAAATGGGTATGCATAAAATATTAAATACAAAAATATTTTATAAAGTGTGTATTTATATTTTGTTGAAGGTTATCAAGATCTTGTTTTTGTGATAATTTTTTATAATAAAAATAAGATTTCTAATTTTGCCATGATTCGATATCTTTTAAAAAAATTTACAAAAGAAATATTTATTTGCTAATTTATTAATAAATAATAGAATTTTTAATTTTGTTACATCAAGTCTCTCAAATCGAATGCAATCTCTACTACTAAAGGTCAGATAAGTTTTAGGCAACTTTATTTTTTACTTGCATTTGTGAGAAGACACTTTTAGCGCTATTTGTTTCAGTCGTATCATTTGTAAACGTAAAAAAATTAGAAAAGGAATTCTACTTTATCGACGTAGCTTGAAATTGTCATGGCATGTATAAACCGGAAAATAGGTTACACTTTACTCCGAAATATATTGCAGATTTAAAAAAAAAATTACATACAATTTGATTTTATTACATCTCATAAATTACGATATCGAATACTATCATAAGATTTTTTATGTAGTTTGACAAAAATTTAATATTGATAAAGAGAGAAGTTTTTCTAATAATCGCATAACCTCAAAACTTTCGCAAAATATATGTTATTATTAAATCAATCTTCCTATTTCAAATAAAGCACAATGAAGTTCACGGAAGTGTTATACAAGCAACATATAGGTAGACAGATTAAAAAATTATGGTATGTCAAGCGAGAACGCAAAGTGTTTGACACCAAAATAGATAAACATTTGTCGAATATAGGAATTTCAGTGAAGGACCCCATAGAAGTAATCAACCCAAAACAGGAACGTCCAAGGTATTCTTTTCTCTAAAGTTTGTATTTTTGTTAAATTCTATATTACATATGACATTAATTGTAAATTGTATTTTATATAAGGTTAAAACTAGAATTTTTGAAGCCAAGACAAATAGTGTTTGATGAAACGCATCCCGACTGGAAAGCTAAAGCTTGCTTGGTATTTAAGGATAATAATGTTTTGCAAGAAGGTTTTTGTCAAGCACAAATATTGACGAACACTGTGTGTCTGCCGAACAGTTCTTCAAGTTATATTCAAGATATATTTCCAGATCTACCAGAACATGTGGACAACATAGTAAAAAAGTATATTAAATTTTATTTGATTCTTATATATATTGTAGTATGTATATATATATATAATATTTTTGTTACTTTAGGATAATTTATACTTCAAATATATTTGATGCTTATCAAAAAAAACTACCAAAGAAGAAGGATCCTGAAAGACCTGCTTGGGTGTTTACCAGAGATTATGGCATAACTAACAACAGAAAAATGTTAGTGAGTGAAGAAATATTTAAGTATTACTTTGATACAACAAAAATATATATTTACACATTTAATTCTTGAATATTTTTGTAGGCAGAATTTGTCTAAAAAACTTTTACAACTTTGCGAGTCTTTGTCGGGTCCAGAGATTGCACAGAAACGATGTATATTGTATGATGGAATCACAAAGTTAAACTTAGGTAGCTTAATTATAAATAATTAAATATTGTAGTATTTTATTATTACACTCAATTCTATTCAATTAACACAAAAACATTTTCTAGATAAAGCATCAGATCTTATTCAATTTACCCTAAGATCAGATGTGATGGTCATGTCGGCAAATCCTTTAAAACCAATAGAAAATTTTAATAGCAATGTGGAAATAGATCTTCCGAATATACAGCCATTGCATTACACCATCGGTATAGACAAAACAAACTTTTACAGAACTGAGGATATGTATCGTAAGTTTAATACTGATTATATTTCTAATACATATTACAATATATATGTATTTCTAATCTTATAAGTATATTAATAACAGCTATCACATCAACAACACCTTGGATAAACGCCCACACTATTTTTGTGCATTACGACCCCAGTGAAGTGAGAAATCTGACGAAATTACCTGTGACACAAAGCCAGATTTTCAGTCGCACTTTGATGAAAACATACACTATAGCGGCGTCCTGTGCACGACAGAAATTTGGTTCATCTGTGAAGAAACTACCGGAACCCGTGACTGTACAATGCATTCAATCAGATGGGAAGAATTATCACTTTTTCATATTTCAACTCAATTCATTAGATGCCAATGATGTCAGTATGAAGAATTTTTGGTGTCCTTTATCACCATTAACACTTTATGAAAAAGCTGAATATGATAATGGTAGACCAGTAGTCGAAGGATACAATCCAGAGGTATTCAGAAGAATACTTGCTCTTTACAGGAATGGAATTTAAAGGTTAAATAAAATCTGTTAAATTATATAAAGTTGCTAAAGGATTTTCTAATCTTTTCTATGAAGAATATTTCATCTATACTAATAACATACTATTAATATACGTTGTGCCAGTCATCATTATGCAATGCTTAGAAGATTTTCGAAAAGTATACTTGGTTGCACGTTCGGATTGATTTCTTTTGATTTTACACGGAGGCGATGATCCGGCGGTGGTTTTATCAGATTTTTCATAGAGGGATACGGTTTGGAGTAAAAATATGTGTGACACAATGCCTGCAACGATAATTTCTTATTTTTATTTACGTTGTGTCTATATCTTCTTTTTCTCTTTAATTAAATTTCTCTTCAATAATGAAAGTAAGTAACAGAAAAACAGTGCAAAAATATATAATAATAGTCTAATAAAAAAATCGAGGATAATAGGAATCTTATAACTCTGTATATAATATATTACACGTTATTATATAATCTTGTATATTACCTGTTCAGCTGTGAGACGGTTCGACGAATTATAAATCAAAATTTGCCTGATTAGATCAATAGCTTCCGGTTGGGCGTCTTGAATAATGCTTTCCCATGACGTGCTTTTGTGATAAGGAAAGGTAATTTTGTTATAATCCGGTAACGAAGTTAATTCGGGCCAGGATTCGGATGTAGGAGAACCCAAATATTTTAGAACAATGGCCAATTGTTCGATGTCAGTTTCACCCTGCAATTACAAGTAACAGGATACTACTATATAAGTTATATAATTTATTTCAATGAAAAAGGAATTTACTGGAAATAATGGGGAAGTATTCAACATTTCACCGAATATACAACCGATCGACCAAATATCAATCGCAGACGTGTAATAACGTGCTCCATAGAGCAATTCCGGTGCTCGGTACCACCGTGTAGCAACTTGATGTGAATACGGCTTCGTGCCGTCCCGCCACATCAATCTACTTAAGCCAAAATCCGCGATTTTCAGGATACCTTTCTCACTAATCAACAAGTTTGCAGGTTTCAAATCCTAAAATACGATTCCAAACTCTTCAATATTGTAGAAGGTTCGGCTTACATTTGTGAATCCAAATTTTTTTAAAAATAAGTTATGTACCCTGTGTATTATATTTTTGCTATGTACATACGCTATACCTTCTAACAACATTTTCATATACGTTTTAATTTGTGCTAATGTCAAGGATATCTCGAAATCTCTTAATATTTCCCATAGTCCTGTTGGCATGTATTCAAACACCATTATGAAGTCTAAACCATTTGGAAAGGCATCTAGCAATTCCACGACCTGCAAACAAATGGTAATAAATGCAAATTCCGTTAAATTAATACAGAAAATTACAGTAAATGTTTTAAATATTATTTTTCCTTGATTTAAAAAAAGTTAAGAAGATACAAGATGAAAGAAAACATACATAGGGATGCTTAAGTTGTTGCAAACTTTTTACTTCGCGTATGATAGATGTGGGTAGACCACTCTCGATCTTTTTAATCAAGATTTTCTTTAGTGCTACTTCTTGATCTCGAGATATATCGTGCGCTTTTAAGACCAAACCTTGCGCTCCTTCACCGATCTGACCATTGATAATATATTTCTCCATATTCTGTTTTATTCGACAATTTACATTATCAAAATTACGAATAACAAATACTTTTTATTACTCTTGTATAAAAACAGTCGCATATATGATAATATTATATACAATTCACTATATAAAATAATTAAAAATATATATATTGAATAATTAAAATGTAATCAACTATTTATTATTAATTAATTAATTATTATTAATAATTATTATTGTAAATATAA